GCGCCCCCCCCAGCCAGCAGCTCAGCAGGTGGCTGTCCATGCTGGTTGTCCCCGGCTGCAGGAGGGGCTGCAGGAGGGGCTGCAGCAGCGGCGTCCGGCGGTGCTGCGTAGCCCCCGTTGTTGTTGGAGAAGGCTGCTCGGTCTCGACTCTCCTCCTCGACGTAAACTCTCTGGTGGCACATGGGACATGTGTCCTGAATGTAGAGCCACTTCCTCAGGCACAGAGCATGGAAGTAGTGGTGGCAGGGCGTGATGCGGGCTGACATGGCAAACTCCTGGTAACAGATGGCGCAGACGTCCTCAATGTCCCTCAGCTGGTCCCCACGCATTTCTGGCAGGGAGTTGATTTTTTTGACAGCTGTGCGGCGGTTGATGAAGGTCTTCCATCCGTTCTTGGCCTGCAAGTAGATATTGAAGTAGGCGTGCAGGCACATCATGCAGGCGCGGATCTTGCTGCCTGACTCGAACATCATGGTGTAGGCGCCGTTTCCGAACATAATGACGCCAAACAGGAACTCTATGATATTGCCTGTGGAGCGCACGTAGTAGACGTAGTCATCCAGCTTCTCCCACAGGACGTTAGAGAAGCCATCGGCCATGAAGAGGCCATAGACCGTCAGTGACACCATCACCTGGAGGGAGGGGGACGCAGATGATGTTTTACAGAGTACAACAACTAACAGCAACATGTGAGAGATCAGCAGGGAAGCTACTGAGATAAAATGAAAGGAATGAGAACAGCCAACATGCACCTGTAGTCACACCACACATACATGTGTCAAAATACGCCACCGTCCTCCTTCCTAGAAGACACAGTGGAATGTGTGGCAGCAGTTTTTAATTTACAGGGTGCAAAGCAGAAGAGATGGTGAACATCCATAAACTTTTGCATAAGACTGTAACTCCAGGAACTGACTGAACATCATGGGCTAACAGAAGAAGAGTGTGAAAGTTTGAATCAAACAAATTTGACTAAGTTCTACACACCTTGAGGCACAGCTCGACACAGAAAGCGGTGACAGCAAAGAGCCAGGTGTTGAGGGCGTAGTGGTGCCAGAGGACGTAGCTGAGCACCACAGGGAGCACGAAGAGCACCGTGGACACCAGCAGGACGGGAAAATGGCGGCGAAAAGAAGAAACATGGGAGGCGCTGAGGGACATCAGGACGGGGTCTGTCATGCCATGGATGAAGTGCAGGATGGCCGTCAGCAGAAGGCACATGTTCCGACTCAGGCGGACCTTTGTATCGAACCGAGAGAGAGAGAGAGAACTTCAGATGTTGCAAAACAAACTTAAGTGAACATGGTGCCCTCAAACAAATCACTGTGTTAAGAGCAGGTTTTTCAGACATCCCTGTTAATGGTGGTATTGAAGTGAAGTGACAAATGAACCCAGTGGAGGAAAACAAAAAATGAAGGTAAAGGTTCAGAAACAAAAGGAACATCCAACATCAGGTGAGCAGCATTCACTCTCTGATGCTGGATGTCCGGGTCCATGAACCCCTTCTACACACACTTGTGAAACCTAACACATTATACTTGGCTCAGTATTCAGTCAGACCGAGGAAGCAGTGACATACCAGCCGTTCCTCAGGGTCCAGGCTGCTGAGGCCTGTCTGTAGAGCCAGGATGAAGAAGAGCACAGGAGCCACAAAGCCTAAACGCTTGTCCTCCTCCTCGGTTGAACCTGAAGAGACCAAACACTGCATTTTAGGTCCACCGTTACAGCCAGTTCGTGCACACACTTTATTTGCAGCACGCTCAGCCGTACCTATGAAGGCCAGGATGCTGAGGCCGAGGTAGTGTGCGACAGAGGAGATGACGGCGCTCATGCCCAGCACAGTGAGTGTGGAGTCACAGCCAGAGATGATCAGGTTACTCGTCAGGTCCCAGAACACGTCCCAGCTCAGGAGGTAACCCTGAAGCAGTACAGTCAACATTCACACTATGCACTTTGTTTGGTTGCACCTACAGTACATGTTTGGGGTTTTAGACACACTGCTACAAGAGTTTTGGAATCACACTTAATTCTTTCTCCCAACAAGTCAAGAGAAATGACCCTGGGCTTTACACAGCCGCTCCTTTCTTTTTTGTGACTTTTAAATAGCACACAGAGTGCAACATAATATTCAAACACAGTCACCTTTATAAATGTAATGTATGTTGTACTCTCCATGGCCTTTTGAAACAACTGAAATCAGTGCTTTTTAAGCTCTTTAAGACCATCACAACCCTGATTAAACACAGTTATGTTCTTACCTGAGAGTAAGAGCTCCCGTCTGTGGCACCGCCTGTGGCATCTCCACTCTCTCTCCTCACAGCCCGCACCACGTAAACCAGGATCAGCGCCTGGGCGGTGACCCGGGTCAGCCAGAACACACGCAGCACATCAGGAAACCGGATCCTCTTCCATGTGTCCTCTAGCAGCAGCTGAAGTCCGTAGATCCTGTACATGTGCCGTATGAGCAGGTAGACGTAGCGGCATGAGTAGTAGAACCATTTAAGCCTCATGGCCAGGCACACAGCTGTGTTCAGAGCCAGCGCCAGGCCTGAGAACACAGCCACCAGCTGCCTGACATCTACAGGCAGCTCAATCATCAGTCCCCACAGGGGGATCATGATGTCCACAACCACCAGTGCAGCGAATACCGACTGCAGGTTGAGCAGGAACACATAGCCCACACCAAAAAGGAGCTGGACCATGGCCATGCCGAGCCACAGCACCGGCCCGTTTCTGGGCAGCAACCTGAATCCCAATGCTGCTTTGTAGTAGGCGCTGTAGAAGTCTATGTGGGAAGTTGCGTAGTAGTTGATGAGGACTGCCGCCATGCCGAGCAGAACAGCAAAGAAGAGAGTGTAGAACTTGAACAAGGCTTTTTGGGAGAGCAGCAGCACGACACTGGAGATGAGGACACCTGGGACATAGCAAAAAACAGATGGAATGATAAATGACTTCCTATCACACAGACCAGAAAAGGAACAGATATCTGGTATGTTTGTCTAATTGGAAGTTCGCTACAATTACTCTGTGTGATAAAGCAACAGTAGGTGCTGTTTTTCAGGTGAGGAACATGTATGTGGTGCTCTAAACGACAATGAGATGAGTTCCTGCAGCATGAACAAAATTAGAAGAAAAACAATCAGCTTGAAGGGCAATAATCCTGCCAAGTCAAAGACACAACCAGGGCAAAGCAAAGCAGTCAACCATGTCTTAAGATGTAATGAGGTTTGGTTACAGGTTAGGGTCATGGGTGCACTTAACTTTGGCATATTCAAGGTGCACAAATGAAAAATGATAAACAGCAGTGGGTTGAAGAATGTGAACGCTGCCTCGCCCACTTTCAAGCCATCTTACTTGGCCCCTCACTTCTCCGGACCCAGAGTTACTGGCTCACAGCAGGAGGACTTTCAGAGGGCCTGAGATGCTCAAAGTTCGACAAACTGTACCACTGGAGAATTGTGTAATCTGCTTGTTGTGTGTGTCTACGGTGTTTTCTGCTAATGACTCAACACTCCATGAAGATTAGCTTTACCAGGTTCTCTGGAGAAGAATAAAACCAGCCGTGATAGATGCAGACTAGTTTCAAACTTTCAAATCTCGGAAAAGCTTTGCCTGTCACAGGTCATCATCAAATTGTTGCTTCAACTGAGGTGTTGTTAGGAGTTATGACTGGCTTGTCTGGAAAAGAAAACTGAAAGTACATCAGACTACAAAAAAGGAAGCCTGAAAAAAAGGACACCTGTTGGATTCAGGTCTGTCCTCCTTCAGGGGAGGTGTTTGGGGGGTCAGGTCTGATGGAGGCTCCTGTAAGTTGCTTGTCCTCCTGGATCATGTTCTCTGTGTGTATATATATATGTATATTACAATATACAGTTTTTCCATTCTTACTGTCCATACTGTAAAATCGGTTATGGCGATCTATTCTGCACACTCGACATCTGTTTCCTGTCTGTCCCTCCTCTGTTGCTCTTCCTGAGGTTTCTTCCACTTTGTTTTTTTTATCTCTTAAAGGGCTTTTGTGGTGTTTATCCTGATCAGATTCAGGAGTCTAAGGACAGAGGGTATCATGTGCTGTACACACTGTAAAGTAACTTGAGGCAAATTTGTGATGTAGCAGAGATGACCAGATGGGACTGTACTAAGAGTAGGGGTCATGTTAAGCACCTCAGAAGACGAAGGGTTGGTGTAGGAATAAGTTAAGGTAAAGAGAACAGACTTGTGCACGGTTAGCCAAATTGCTAGCAAGTTGCTAACTGGCTGGCTAATCGCTGCTAACAACCAGACAGAATAAAGCACTGTATGTAACAAATTGTATCGGTATTACTGCTGTGGATAAATCGGCTTCAGTCGGTCTGACAGGTGAATAGCTCCCCATAGCGGAGTACCATCACGGCTAACGCAGCGTTAGCTAGCTGTCACGGTGTGTCGGCAAAATGTGACGACTCCTGTAGGTTAAACTGTAAAATGCTTACCCATTACTCGGACCAACCCCTTCACCATCGCCCCGGCCCATCCCGAACCTGGGTCGTAGTAGGAATTAAAAATTGCGTCGATGATAAAGATACAGGGAACTCGCAGAGCCACATCCAGCAACGCCAAGGCCTGCTGGCCTAAACGGGCTTGAGTGGACGCCATGCGGCTTCAGCTGAGGGTCTACAGTCCAGGGGAGCCACAGCTATCCATGTAACATTAAAATTAGTTAAAGTGCCCTTGCAACAGCCCCTTGTCTTCGGTTTCTCTTCGCCTGGTGTTTATTTCCTCGGTAGGTGGGGACCTGCTGTCGTCCGCTCAGCTCAACCTCCTGTTGCTTCTTCTTCAGTTTAACCTCGGGCAGCTTCCATCAGTCGCCACCAAGCATCACATTTCAGGGCTCTCCTCAGATCCTCTTCGGTCTTGAATCATAAGATATATTACAACTTTAGAGAACCGACCCTTTACTGTTGTTGCTTTGATTACTTGGTAAGAGCCATGCAAGGCGGCACAAAAGTTGCTACGCTGTTCCGACGTAACGTCCAGCGTCTGAGGGCGTGGTCACTGACGTAATGACGCAACCTTTTGTATTAAACTAATAAAAACAAAAACATTTTACGAAATCACATATAATAAACATATTTTTTTTCCTTTGGTTTACCTAAAGTTATTCTCTAATAGTTTTTTCCCAGTTTAGTACAGTACATTTCCTCAAGCGCTGTAGGCTCTTTACTTGTATTTGTACTTTATTTGAGCATTTCATCTACTTTATACTTCTATTCCACTATATTTCAAATGAAAATGTTGTACCTTTTATTCAACTAAATCAATTTAATACCTTTAGTGACTGGTTACTTTGCAGATTAAGATTAATAATAAATACAAAAAACTAACAGTTGTAAAAGAAGTAGTCTACTTAGAACCATGGTAGGAAGTGTAGAAATATTGCTACACATAAAGGTCCTGGATTCAAAATGTTACTTAAGTAAAACACAAAAGCATTAGAATCAAAATATACTTGAAGTACCAAAAGTAAAAGTGCTCATTATACAGAATGACATGTAACATGAAGTCAGCAGTCCACGTGTCGAAGTGTCCTTGGGCAAGACACTGAACCCCCCCATTGCCGCCGACGGTTAGAGCCATCGGTTGAGGTGGCACAGCAGATGGCTGCCATCGATTATGTACTGGAAACAAATTCCTTGTGTGTAACATACTTGGCCAATAAAGGTTATTATCCTTATTATCCTTATGAATCCAAAATTATTCTCAAGTAAAAAGACCAGTTTCATGTAAAAGACAAATGTTCCTATTTTCAGTTAATGAAGTATTAATCAGCTGTCAAAAAACTTATTTTGTATTGACTGAATTAACTGACCAATCAGCTCAGCATTAAAGGGAAAAATCCATGAAAAACACATTTTTTCTTTTATTTTAGATGATAAATTCCCATGTACCCGTACTTCACTCAGGCAGTTGTGCACACATTCATGAAGGAGCCTTCATCAGCTGTGAAGTAAAATCAGTCAATCTAATAAAAGTTTGATGTGGCCGACCATCAGCTCGAAAAGAAAACTTTGACGGTGTTGCTGTATATGGTGCTGGCCAGCTCCAGCGGCTCCTCTTCTCTCGCTGCCGCCATCACCTCCAGAACTTGTCTGGAAGAGTCAAATTGTGTCATGAGTGCATTAGCTATTCACATTTTGTGCTCAATAGATTTAATTGTGCATGTACTAGCTTGGTAGCTGCATTGATGCACTGAGTTCTACTAAGTTTTTTCACCCTGACACGACTCACATGATGTGACAGGGCTCATTCCTGTCTTTTAGACAGTGCCCTGCCTCCCATTTCTTCTTAGTGGGAAATGTAGTTTCGACATATTTGGAGCCTGCATGAGTGTTCTTCACCCCACACCACGGAGCATCTGGGAAAACACAGGCAGATATTAAATCACACAGATTCATTTAATAGAACACTTTAATAACCATGCCAGCAAAAGCATCGATGACTGAATGAAATGATGAATCTAGTTTTGTAAAATTATTATATCTCTGGAGCTCAGCAGCACTTGGTTTCATGTGGTTAATAGCAAGATTCCATCTATAGTAATTTATTTTCTCTGACCGCTCACCAGTTACATTTTCTCACTTACTTTCTTCATTATAGCAAACTCACCTGTTTCTATCATGAGCCTGTCAGTGGGAACTGACTTCATAGCTTCAATATTGGCCTCAGTTTTCAAAGAACTGACAAAGAGAAACAACAGCTGCAGTTTTCTTAATATTCACCTTTAAATAATGCAACAAACTTTGATTTGTTCAGAACAAAGGGTGTGAACATTTTATGTATTTAATAGCATGGAACTGGTGAAATTTCAATTTTCTCCTTGCAGGTAGAGAGTTTAGTGTTATTCATTTTGTCAACATAATGTATTTAAGAAGAGAAACCCCACCACTAATAAAATACAGGTATGATTTTTTAAAATCTTTGGGAGTCTAAAAATGCAACACATATTTGCACATAGTCGGTCTGTGGTCAACTCTGAGTAAAGATGTTGCTTGTGCTGTGTGTTGTGCTTGTGGGAGGTAAAGTTAGGCCCGATGTGGAGCAGAGTCCAGATGTGGCTCATCACATTTCAGAATCCTCTCACCACCCATTTATTCCGATATAGAGGTCCAGGTCAATGAGGGCAGCAGCGTCCTCTGCAGTCCCATCAAATGAGTGGACCTGAAGGACAAAGTAGTCAGCTGCATCCTGACCACATGTTTCATGTTTCCATTGTTTAAGGATGCTCTTAACTCAACCACAAAATTAACTGTAGTGAATTTGAAAATCGTTTGGTGATTTCACAGTGATTCAACCAATTTTCACCCAAATTTCCTTTTTCACTAACAAAACAATTACATACTTTGCAGGAGTATAGATTTAACTTCTTTTTTTTTTAACATATATTTGAAAAAACATGTTACTTCCTGTAGATGAGATATTTCCCACGACACCCCCCCAAAAAAAGTTACCAAAGTTTTAGTTTGCTTTCCTGTTAGTACAACATGATAAAGTGCATTACTTTCAACAAAACAGCACAGAAGAACACAATAGTATCCTCACCACTCCTCCTACACATCGGTCTCGATTTCTCTTCATTATGTCTGTCAAAACAGAGACACAAACACAAACAAAACATTAAAATGCTGTGTCTAAAAATCCTTCTCATGAACCAGACCAGGTCTCTGGTGCACAAACCTACCGATGAACTCCTGATGGGAGTTTCTGCAGTGGAGGAACATGGGCAGCTTGGTCTCCTCTGCCAGGTCAAACTGCTTCTCAAAGTATCTGTAACAGGCGGAAAAGAGCGACGAGATGCAGAGAAGACAGACTGAATGATTAAGTGTGTAAAGTAAGAGGTATATGCACTGACATATACCTACACCTGTATCTTAGACAGAGGAACATTTAAAGCATCACAAGCCAGTGGTGTGGTTGCAGCTTTAAATGTTCGACACAAATAAACTTACTTGAGCTGAGTCTCTTTGGGGCAAAATTCCAGCCTGTCGAAATCTGGAAAAAAGGAGAAAATACAGAGCATGAACCTATCAGTTAAAAAAAAAAACACCTTTGTTTTTATGTTCATTGCTGTGCCCACACACCCAACATCATACTCACACATTTATCTCCCTCTCAAATGTCCAGACTGCTTAGTGAACACTATATGTTGTATATTTTATATTTTATGATATACATCATATTGTACTACAGAGCACATACAGTGTCATGTTAGTCTAAGGCTTACATTTAAATACAGCATTACATTTCATTCTACATTGAATATAACACATTTAATATATAAAAACTCTTGTGTAATCATGGCCTACATATGGCATTAGTTTAATGTGCCGGTAGGGGTACTTTATTTACTGTATATATTGCTTGAATGATCGTTTTGAATTGATCTTGTATCATTATTATTATTATTATTACTTACTTTTCTCTGCTCATCTGTACTTACATCTTGGTTTTTGTGCTGTTGCAACACCTGATGTTTCCTCTTGGGGATCAATAAAGATTTATTCTATCTTGCTACTGAATATTCCATACAAACCACAAAGACAGGACCAATGCCCTAAGCAACTAGTTTCTTGTGAATAATCTCTTCTTTTATAATGTTGTTTATCTTTTACTTTTTTAAACACACATATGGGTATAAATATAGATATGTGCACAAATGCACCAGCGGTAAGAGGACACACCTAGGCCACACTCTCCGATGGCCACCACCTTTCCTCTGTGTGCTGCTGCCAGCTCCCTCAGCCCTGAGAAGTACTGCGACTCTCCATGCTGCTCAAACTCACCGCAGCGGGTGGGGTGGCAGCCGACTGTGCAGTAGAACTCATCTGTAATAACGGGGAGCATGCTGATTTAATCAGTCCCACTATGGTCCACGACATGTATTTGTTAATGGTATTATTACCTCTGGTCTCAGCTAGTGTGAGGGCCTCCTTGCTGTCTTCAAGGCTTCCTCCTGTGATCACAAACTGAACATAGCAACACATTGGACATTTCAAATTTTCCATTATCAACACTAAGACAGGTGTGTACCAGCTTGGATTAAACACATTTCCATTATCAACACTAAGACAGGTGTGCACCAGCTTGGATTAAACACGACTTACCTTTTCAACTCCGGTTTTGAGAGCTCTGTCGATGATCTGTTCAAAGTCATCTGTCAGAAAACCACATCTGATCTAAGACAAACTTTATCTCAACAAGCCACAAGTCAAAAAAACACTGACAGAGTTTCTCACCATCATGTTTCTGCTTCCCTCTGTAGAGTCCTCTGAACATGGGATCTGTCAGGTTCACACCGATATCTGGACAGGCAGAGGTTGGAGATGATCAGCACTGTAACGTGTCCCCACACTGTTCTTGTGATACACTGTTGATCTTTCAAATACAGTTACTGCAAAGCTACTACAGTAACCTGGACAGTATGACACTACTGGTGTTTTTATGATTCCTCACTGTGTGGTGCAGATTTGAAGGGAGAATATTATCAGCTCCACAAAGCAGCTTGTTAATTCTGTTGTTTAGTTTAAACAGATTTGAGTTTATCTTTTCATTCCAGCACCTTTACTAAGAGGACTGCGACTAAAAATTATATCTATGATGGGTTTTTGGCTATATTTTACTCTATCAAATGTCAAATAATTTAATAAAATAGTGAAATATGTCAGCCATACTTTCCTAGAACTTAAATGTCTTGTTTTGACCAACAGCACAACATCCAAAGATATTCAATTTATTGTAATATAAACAGACAGAAGCTGCAGATCCTTTCATTTGAAAGGCTGGAATCTGCAAATATCTAGTATTTTTTGCATGACAAAGTACGTAATTGCTGTGATATATGTTTATCACTGTTGCAAATTAATTTCCTGTCAGATGATCGATCGATTAATCGCTTTAGTACATGTTAGCAAACTTGAACTGTTCTCCTTTTAAAGCCTTTCATCACTTTGTGTGATTAGATTTACTTTCAGCTACTCCAACAAGTCTGCACAGATTGCAGCCATGGTCTGAACTTTAAACAGTAATGGACTTTAATGGAGAATAACAAAGAAAGGTTTTTAAGAAATAATCTGTTACAGAGGCCAATGTAAATGTTGTGCCACCAGCAGTTTCCCGATGATTGAACTCGGATTATTCACAGTAGTAATTGTTGTTGTACTGCAGTGTAGGGTGGCATCAGACAATATGAACTGCTATCAAACCAAAATCAAAACCAAACCATCTGACATGCCCCCGCACAGCTGTGTCTGTTGTCTTATCATTCACAGCAGGGCTAGCTGCTCAAACTTAACGTGCCGGCTGTTCTGTTTACAGCCGCCAGCAGCTGAGCTGACAGACTCAGCGTTTAATACGTTCTTGTTCTGGTCTATCCAACCATAAAACACAAAAGAGTCTTACCAATAAACTTGTGCGAAGCCATGGCTAACAGAGAAACACTCCTGAAGAGAGCCACACATGCAGCTCTCGATCCCATGAAGCCACAACACCGTAATTACCGTAGCAGAGAGAAGCCGCATTAGCGAAGTAGCATCTTGTTGTAAAGTTGTATTGATATGTGTTCATTTGTGTGTGTGTCAAGCAGTTGACCTCAGGCCAAGTCGTACTGTTGATTTATAAGAGTACTATAAGGCTGCAACATTTATTGTCATTATCAATACATTTGACAGTTATTTTCCTTACCTTAATAATCAGTTGATTGTTCATTGCTCAACTGTTATTATTAATGAATGTGACTTCAACATTGAATTATCACGAAACATTTCTGCTTCAGAATATTGACTGTAATGAAACTGTCACGTAGAGTGGATGTCAACCATGGTCTAACAACACATTTCTAGAATTAAAACCTGTTACAAAAAGGCAACAACTATAACATGCCCATTATGTAGGCATTTACAGTCCAAATGCCATAACGTCCCAGAATCCTTTGCGCCCGCTCGGGAGAAGGTGAGAGGGGACGGTGAAAATGGCTGCTGCTTATCTCACTCACCAGCAGAAAGTGTTGCGGCTTTACAAGAAATCACTACGACACCTCGAGTCATGGTGCATCTTTAGGTAAGAGGAGCTGTCTCTGCGTAAGATCTACGGAGGAAAGTGGAGACATGTCGCTGCTGTAATTTGTATGCTGTGCTGCCAATTGCTAAGCTAACTGCTAGCCTGGTGTTCGGTCAAATTGTGTTACATATCGAAACGTGTTACCTACGACTCACAAAGTGGTTAGGGTGAGGGATGACAATGTGCATTGTTACCGAGAAAAATACTGATTCATCTAGATGTTACATCATATTAGGTCGTTTATTTAGTGGGTGCAGATGTTATATTCTCACAACTTTAAGCATTTATTATGCGCGATTAAGTGATACAGGGTGCTAATAAATTCAGATCGAGTCAATCAAGTAACAGTTTGAGACATCACGGAAAGATGTTATTTCAAATATACATTTCTTAAAACACTAAACAGCAGGTATTGAAATAACTGAAGATTGCTTGCCTTGTTGACAGTTATTTTCTTATTAACTGATGTTTGATGACATGTCATATAGTGACAAATAGGTATGAGAAGGTCCCGGAGCCCATGGTGGTGTCTTCAGATTGTTCGAGTTGTTTTGTCAGTCCAAAACAGAGAGGTGCAGTATTTTATCTCATGAGAAAGGAGTACACACAAGTGAATACACACAGTGTTTGTGTTGGCTACATGTTATTACAGCAGACATTACATCCTCCCTTGTTACTTTCAGTGATAAGATTTAAGACATGTAACTGTGGTGTTTCCCATTACAGAGACAAGTACCGGTTCTACGCCTGCTTGCTGCGTGCTCGCTTCGATGAGAACAAGAATGAGAAGGACATGGTGAAGGCCACCAAGCTCCTGAAGGCGGGAGAGGAGGAGTTCTGGGCCAAACAGCACCCCCAGCCCTACATCTTCCCTGACTCTCCTGGAGGGACCTCCTATGAGAGATATAACTGCTACAAGGTGAGTCAGGGCTCGGTGTGTTTCACCGGGATAACTACCAATGAAGTGATTATATCGACCTATTAGAAGTGAAAATCATGATGTGAAAATGCTGACAGCCCTAGTGTGACATGTTGATGAACGTCCTACACTGCTTGTTCCTGCAGGTCCCAGAGTGGGTGCTGGACCACTGGCACCCGTCGGAGAAGGCCATGTACCCTGACTACTTCTCCAAGAGGGAGCAGTGGAAGAAACTGAGAGAGAAGAGCTGGGACAAAGAGGTGGGCTGGGCTGCCTACTTCATACTACTGCTGCTACATTGTCCATACTACCTTATCTTTGAGCTGAATGCAGAGTTTTCTGTACCAAAGGCAAAAGAGAAATTACTGGGCTAGCTACTCTTCTTTCTGATATTAAAGTAATTACTCTGGGAAAACCTGTACACATTTAAGGTTAGATGAGCAGGTCTTCCATTAATCACAGGCCTGGAAGTTTGATTCCCAGATTCTCCTGTCCACAAGTCAGAGTGCATGAAAGCAAAATATATGTTAACCACGACTGCAGTTTGACACCGCTCAGTTTGTAATTCAAAGGCAATGATAAATAAGATTTTAAAATGTTTACAATGAATAAATGAAAATAACTAAAATAAGTTATTCTGACACTAGTATATTCACTTTTCATATTCTGTTTATTCTGTGTTTATTCTACTTTTATTCTATTTCGATTTCTTAAATGGTATGGGCATTCAACATTAGGTGAGAGAAACAGTATTTCAATGTTTCTGTATGTCTTGCACATATAGGGAATTGACAATAACAATCTTTGATCTAGTATTGTTTTGGGATTGAAGTCTGTCCCCTCCTGTCTGATTCCAGGTTGCCCAGCTGCAGGCCGAGACTCCAGCCGGCGGCCCCAGAACTGAAGCCCTGCCTCCTGCCCGCAAGGAGGGCGACCTGCCCCCTCTGTGGTGGCAGTACGTCACCCGCCCCAAGGAGCGCCCCGCATAAACACTGTCTACCTTCTGGGGTCAGTTACCCCTGCGGTGTGAGGGGAAACTGTCCCAGCCATAATACAATAGCAGCACGAAGACTAACTGACTTCTTATTGAGTTAACATCTGTCTGTGACGAAACTCTGATCAGTTCTGAGGAGGGTCACCTGTGCAGTCTGCATGGCTGGAAAAACCTGTAGTCAGCTTTAGGAGTTTGATGACTTTGAGAAGCCCTGTAGATGTATCACTTAATACCTAATAAAGAGAGGTGTAATGAAAATTGTGTTTTCTGTGCACAGAGACACACTGCTTCGTATTTTGAGGTCTCATTTAGGAGAAATACAGTACTATAAAATAAGTACTGCAGTAAACCTTTGCATTAGGTCAAATGTTACTCATAAGGTAACACTGACCAATTTTACTTTAATTTGCTCAGAACAGCCATCACACCTCTATCACCTACATTTATATGCACTTGTATCTCCTGGGAGTATGTGGCGCTTTTTGCAACTTTTTCAAAAAGATGCAGACCATGCCACTGTTTTTAGCAAAGGTTACTAAAACAGGAGTAAACACTACATTTGTTGGCAGCAGATTAGTTCATATTTAGCCCTCTAATTCTTGCACCCTGTAGAGTCCTGAGCTGCTAGTTGGGTATCAGCCTGTTACATGAGTTGCTTAATAACAAACACGTGACATCACTATGGCGACAGGTGTGGCCTGAAGTTGTGCGGACGCATCATCATTGTGACCGCCTTCAGAGAGTAGAAGTCCGAGTCCTTCCAGGAGAACCAGACGATGCCGTCCGGGCCGAGCAGGTCCTGGGCTTTCAGAGAGTAGTGCCCCCCCTGATGGAAAAACACAATTTCAACATTAATATATCAATACAACAATATTTTTCTACATGAAGTTAAATGCCCCACTTCCTTCTTGTGCAGGCTCCTACTTTGTCTTCTGGTGTTAACTCATAGACAGGCCCACCTTGTAGTAGACACCGTTGAGGTTGGCAAAGAAACACTGGTGGAACCACCAGCCGGCGTGACTGATTTCAGCACAGATGTTGCCCGTGTCTGGTGTGCTGAAGCCCTGCTGGTTGTGGTACCAACCGAACGAATCCTCCACCGTCCCACTGAACCCAGACACATGGAGGCGGTACTGGTTCTCCTCACTGTCTGTCCTGTGGAGGACAGGACACAGGACACACATTAACCATTTTCCCTCTTACGCACTGTTCCTGTGACTTAAGTGGTCCAGTCCTACGCATTGCACTTGTTTGTTCAGACCTGGTTGACAACATGAAGAGGATAAAACCATTTAATCATACAGCTCTTAGACTTTTCAAATGTTACTGGACTGAATCAGGTCCTGATAATAAAAAGTAATTTTGAAAGGTTTGTGACAAAGAAATGTATTCACTGTTTCACAGCTGCTGCTTTTCCCACTAACTGATTGGGACAAATTCCTCACTCTTGTAGCCAGTGGTCCCCAACCCCCGGGCCGCGGACCGGTACCGGTCCGTGGATCAATTAGTACCGGGCCGCACAAGAAATGATTAATTATTTTCGTTTTATTTATTATCTGAGTATGAACGATCTTTTATTTTGAAAAATGACCGCATTCTCTCGGTTACATCTCGGTCACTTGAGCGCCAAAACTGGCTTACTTGTGGACATATTCAGCCTGCTCAATGAACTCAATCTGTCACTTCAGGGGAAAATGACAACTGTCTTCAAGTTGGCAGATAAAGTAGCTGCATTTAAAGCCAAACTGGATTTGTGGGGACGGCGCGTCAACAGAGGCATTTTGGACATGTTTCAAACATGAGACTTTGGGTGAGACTGAGCCTGAGTCTTCATTCTCCCAGCTGGTGCACGATCACATGTCTTTGCTTTTAAAAGAGTTCGAGCGCTACTTCCCAACCACAAAGGACCCACGAACTGCCAAGGAATGGATCCGCAACCCATTTGTCAACAAACCAGGTGAATCCAGCATGTCTGTGCAAGAAGAAGATCAACTGCTGGAGATCGCAAATGACGGCGGCCTTAAAAGTATGTTCGAGACAACAACTCTGTCGGTGTTCTGGATTAAAGTCATGACAGAATACCCTGAGATCACAGCACTGAAAACCCTGTTGCCATTTCCGACATCCTATCTGTGTGAAGCGGGTTTTTCTGCAGTGACAGCAACCAAAACAAAACAACGGAGTAGACTGAACATAAGCAACACACTTCGGGTGTCATTGTCTCCTGTTACCCCCAGATGGGACCGTCTCGTTGCAGAGAAACGAGCTCAGGGCTCCCATTGATTTAGCGTTATGGGGAGTTAAAGTTTTCAACACAGTGGATTCACGTTTATTATTATATTAGCAATATAAACAATCTACGTAACCCCCCCACCGGGCCGCGGTAAGATTGTCAAGCGTTGACCGGTCCGCAGTGATAAAAAGGTTGGGGACCACTGCTTGTAGCCACCGACCAGAATCCCTTCACAGCCCCACTCCATTACTGGACCAGGGCGATGAGCAAGTCATTCAGTCATGGTAATGTATGATCACTGTTTAGTCCTTCTCTACATCACCTGTCTTTCTTGCTACCTGCTCCGTCTACCTGAAGCTGCTGTACAGGGCGTGTCTGTGGGTGTGGCTCCAGTCCTGTAGCTGGATGCGGAGGCTGTGGTGGCGCTGGTTGGACATCAGATGGAGGTGTTGGTTGCCCAGCCAGTGTTCTCCTTGCAGCTCGCCGAAACCATCACGGTACTCTGACCAACGACGGTTGAAACTCACTGATCCATCACGTCGCCGCTGGAACACCGTCCAGCCTCCACCTGGTGCACAAACACAGAAATGTGTCCTGGGTCTTAACAGGGTGACTGTGCAGAGGGTTAACCCAGGTGCAAATGCATGTATGAAAATTCATCATCAGTTTAACATAGGGATTTTTTTTTTTTTAGAATTATAAAGGTAATCAAATACATATTTGGGTACAATAAAATGGATGCTGTTCTGTAGACACAGGTACACATGCCTCTGTGTCTGTATCTGTTTGTGTTTGACCTCTGTGTCACCTACACATAGTGTAGTATATGCTGTTGTGAATATATAAGGTGTATCTGTGTATACAGCTTGCAGTAAACAGCGTGTGTCTCACCCTCAGTCTCCATATCACAGTAGACAGGCAGAGTGGTGCCTGGGGACAGGACAATGGTGTAAACACCAGAACGACGAACGCCGCTGTGGTGCAGAGACGCACAGTCCGATGGACAGGAAGACAGGTACCGACCACCTGAGGGAGCCACAGACAGAGAAGCAGCCCCATCACTACATTCACACTGTCAGCTAAAAGTAATGACAGTGGTCAAACCTTGAGTTGATGGTGTTTCTTTAAGAAAAATGTCAGTGTTTGCTGAGAATGTGACAGAGCCGGAGCGCAGGTAAACAACTTTTATAATCTCTATGATAAACTGCTTCCAGATCCCCATAGTAACAGTACTTAGACTCTTCTACAAGTACACTGTCATATAAAATAACACAAATACAGACTAAATACAAACAACGGTGACATGCAAAGTCAGGAAAATCCATCTGAGTGGTGGGATCTTAACAGGTAGGCTGCGCAGCTGCTACACCTAAACTCATCATAGCCATGTAAAGTGAAACACGGGTATAAATACCCTGCAGGAAAACTGGAATGTGTAGCTTTGATTCTGTGTAAATGTTTCATGTAACAAGTTTGCACCTACACTGTGTGTACCTGGTGGCAGTGAATCTCGCATGCCGAGCGGTGGTACCGTCCTGATGACATTAACTGTGCAACCTGTGTTATGGTTTATGTGTTGCACTGTAGCTGACAGGTTGTGGAGCTGCACCTGCAGTTCATGCAGCAGCACCGTGTGCACATGGAGCAGCATGTCGACCTCAGCATGACGCAGCTCCAGAGAGCGCAGCCTCTGGTTGAAGGTTGAGTTCAGACTAAAGCTTTCTTCACCCTGAGGGAAGAGAGTTTTATTTGTGTGCAGGTGTTTGTGTTTCTCAGTATTCATCTTTCAAAATGTATCTTTTATTTAATACATTTCAATATGTAGCCTTTAAAATACATTCAAGCACAGTAAAACAGGAAGTCTGGTAGAGTTCAGTGCTAAGGTGTCTACTGCTTCTCACTAGTTACAGTGATTAAGACTAGTTTAGCTTTTGTTTTACCTGTCAGGTTATCATAACTGACACTTTTCAACTACACAGGAGATAAAAGTTGGTGAATTTGTGGCACAATTAAACAAAGAAATGTCACAAAGTCAGTTTGCAGCTTTAACTCAATTACAACCAGCCGAGACACAGGAGCCAAACGCTCTCTGGGTCAGACAGACTCAGCAGGCAGGGCCCCGGCCAGAAAGTCTGCAGCTAATCCTGTTAGCATGCAGGGTTAAGGAGGACTTACTGGGTGTCAAGACAGAGGGATAAAGGGGCGTGGTGTTTTTTTTTTATAAACATATACAAGTGCATTGTATTGCCTCTATGGTTTCAGTTGAAATGGTGGGAGTATTTAGTGACCATCAAATCCCAGTCACAAATAACAGTCTGCCACTTGACTTGACTTTGCCACAAGAGGGCATGTGACAGAGGGTGAAAACCTAGGTCACCAACCTTACAATTCTATTAAACAAGATATTACCGTTTCACTGTCTTTGAACAATCAGACTGTAAACTAGTGAACTGTCTACCTGCATCTCCAGGGACTTGACTCGATGCCGGTGGCTCCTCAGCTCCTCCTGCAGCTCTGACATCGTCTCCCTCAGCTCCTCCAGCTGCTCCTTGCTGTTCTGGTTCTCATGGAGCCAATAGGAGATGTCGTCTGTGCAGCGAAACATATCTGGACAGCGTTTCTGCGATGTTCCCACTGGAGGCAGTGTTGCTATCAGCCGGCACTGGCCGTTAGATGTCAGCTGGCTGCTGAACTGGCTGCACTGAGCTGTGCCAATAGTCTGGCTGAAGGTTTGGTTGGTGCCTTTATCAGCATCAGTGTTGCTGCTGTGCATCACCAGTCGGGCATCTGGGAGCGGGTTGGGGTGTGTCTCCAGGAGGGATGTCGGAGGATGCCAGTCAGCATCCTCATAGTTGTCTGTGAACATGTCGGTCAAATTTTGTGTCCAGTACATTCGTGCTTGTCTGGATGTGCATGTCCAATGCATCTGTGTTCATCTCTGTGAGGGTGTTGGGGAGCACATCCCCCTCATGTCCAACATCTGGGTGTTCAGAGGCCACAGAGTCACCAGTGATAGGCTGGAAACACCAGCTGGCCAGGGACACAAAGATCACTGAAATGGGCCTGCTCCTCATCTCGAACATTCAGGAAGTCATCCTCCCTGGTTGTTGCTGACTTTTATCTGAAGTAAGTAAAATCAGTTTCCATCACCAATCCAAGATCAGGGTCTGACGACAGCAACATGGAGGCCCAGGCCTCGCCAAAAGTTAGTCTTGTTAGGATGGGTAAAACTGTTGGAGAGCTGAAATTTCCAGATGAAGAGCATGAATTCATTTGTTGTGACTGAAACACAAACCAGCTGGACCTCTGTAACATTTCAGTCAGGTGTCTGTGAAGCTGCTCAGAATGAAAAACACAAATGTAGCCAGTGAGCAAAAACTTTAAACTTCAGGTAAAATTCTTTGGTTAATACACATTTTAAATTTAAGTTGAAAAACACAGCATACACATATTCAAAATCTGTCCCTACCTTCCGCTGTCATGTCCCAGTGTTGAATTCACCTCAGTGGAAAAGCATCAAGACAGTCACGAGACGATGTGTGTGTTTCTATGTGTGTGCATTCAGCACCACGTATGACATCCCATCCTGATAATCCTCTAACAGGATTGGCAGCCATTGTCCTGGATGTAATAGATTACAAATAATTAGAGGCATGTCACTGCAGGTTCCAGTCACTGACATAACAGCAAATTAAAGAAGCAGAGTTAATAATATTAGGAAATTGTCAGTTAAGGCACTGATCAGGGATTTCCCTTCAATTGAACACACTGTAAAGAAAGAAACTTTACCATCTGGTGATGTCTCCCGAATGAACATGTCATGCAGAGAAAGGTTATGGCGGATGGAATTCTGCAGTCATACATGAGCATGTTTCAGTACGTGACAACAATTTTAATCTGTTACCTGACATAGTACGTGCACCCACAAATACAATTATTTTTCACTTCCAAAGTACCTTCCATCCTGGTTTGGCCACCTCTCTGAAGTAAGGGAAGTGCTCCTCAATCCACATGTAAATTTCTCTGAGTGTCATCCTCCTATTCGGCCTGCTGTTGATAGCAAACTGGATCATAGCCATGTAGGAGTACGGTGGCCGCTTGGACATGTGTTGCTGAACAGCTGAAGCATGGATTTGTGCACTGTGTGCCTGTACAAAAAAAACACAACAACAACAACAAAAAAACAGGAAAACGACACAGGCACAGAGAGTGTCATATGGTGCAGGCATAGAAGTAAACGTGCAAAAAGTGCACATTTACTGTATTTCATGATAAAAAGTGATATCCTGAACAGTTTGACCAAAGGACCATTGTCAACACTAGAGATGTTTGCAGGTGTTCAGACTATGTACAGAGCCAGTCAGGGCGACAGAGGTGAGGAGCACAAGGTGTTTCACATAAACCTGTCAGCCGCCAGGTGTAGTCACACTATCTGTGTGGAAAGCAAAATATTTAGTGTGCAGCACCCACATGTTGCCATGTTTGAGCTTTAAATCTTGTATGAACTCATATATATTGAAAAACTGAAAAGCAAGAACAAAAATAATGTTATACAGAAAATACCTGAATCCAGTTTTTCAGGGGTCATGAGAGCAGAAGTTTAACAGTTAAAGGTCTGATCGTGCTTTGTTTGCTACAGGTGTGTTTGTATTGCAGAAGCAGAAAACAAATCAAACTAAATGTCTATAAGTGTTTTAATTATGTGGACATAAAAATTCATCTCAGAGCATCATTAGGTTTATTTTGAAAATATGATAATCTGCATTAATCAAACTAGGAGTGGGGTTACAGCAGAACAATACTGTGTCAGTGCCTGTTTCCTAAAACTCAGTGTTCTCTACTGTGCCATCAGGTTTGGTTTTGTTTAGACACCTAAGACTACTTTAAGTTGCAAATGATTGTTGTCATCATGTAATGTTTACTGTCAGAAAGAATAAAGGGTATAATTGGCCCATCCTGACCTCTTCACTGCTCCTGACATTACGGACACGGCCACTAGAGGTCACCAGTCAGGAGCAGATAATAGATGCACAAGTTATTTAGGCTTTGGAAAAACCAGCAGATTCTGTTTCTTCTTCTTGTGAGATCAGTCCTGTATCCTAACCAGAATTATTGGAATTCATCCTGAGGGGAGTGTGACTTTCTTAAAATATAATATATATTTCATGGTAATTTCAGTCTGGACCAAAGTGGTGAGCTGACTGACAGACTGGCACAGAGCCACACCACCAGGAAAGTCCTTATCAGATTTGTGCATCTCCTGGCAAAGTGTCACTGATGCCACTAAAAAAAAATGTGTTTTGGCAATAATTTGTCTTAAACAATGAACAATGAAGATATAAAATCCTACTAATCTTAGACACAATCCTGAGACAAAGTCAGATGTAGATTTAATGAGACAGTAAAACATCACAGCACTTATTCTTTTATTAATATACATGGACACATGTGAATTTATGAATAGGTGATTTTGTAAACACATGCAGCACATCAGCAGAACAACAAACAGACATAGAGCAGTAGCAGAGTAAAGCCAGTGTCAGAGTCTCAGTGAGTCAGATCAGAAACACTGGTCTGTCCTCAGAGTCTCTGAGACCGGAGTCTGGGAGCCCTGGGTGGCCTCACAGGTCACAGAGCCCACCTTCCTCCAC